AGAAACATACAACTTAACATCTAACACATTTAATATTCTACCTACAACTTTCAGTAATGCATTGAATATCCTACTAACAACAAATTCTAAGGAAAAAAACCATTGTAATTTTAGGATTGTTTTTAAATACAAAATCCTAGTTTTAAAAGCAAGATACACATGTAATAAATATTAAAAATATAGAAGGATAAAACATAGAACTTCCTAACATACATAATGAGTAGCGTGATTTTGAAAGTTATCAAACATTGTTTTAAGGCTTCCATTCCTGCCTGATAATTTCCAATTACAATTATATGATCTGAATAGACAGTATAACCCCTTGAAGTGAAAGGCTTAATAAATAGTATATGGTCACCTAGGCTTTGCTTGTATCCCATGGTCTTCATTACAGTAGGAGACTGTTTCAATTCATAGAGCTTGAAATCATGCTCTATGAGACTTCCTTAGTTTTCAATCCATAGGTTATTGAAAAAATAGATAAAAAGATTTAAGCTATGTTGGTTATATGTCACATTTAGTTCTATAGTCTCTCCATTTCTTTCTTTATGAGCAATGTTTTGCTTTTCGGCAAGTATTGGCTTTAAGTACATAGTTAAGTATTGCAGTGCATGCAAATGCCGCTGCCATACAGAAAGTCTGTTTATGGAATTGAGTCCGATGGAAAGTTCCAGCAGTGCATGTACTTCCCAATTGAGAACTTGTTTCTCATCCTCTAGTTTTAAGCTCCCTGTTTGTGTATGATTTCAGGATCTTCTATTTTTGGCTTGCAGTCATCCAGAAAATAAAGGGATTCTGACAAATATGGAGGAATGGCCTGAATGGATTCTCGAGGTCCTAATATCAAACTATGAGGTAAAAATTTATGAAGCTCTTATCTTTGCCCTTTTTTACTATCCTTCATTTTTCTTCAATAAAATTTAACAGACACTTATGTCTCCTCTTCAAAACTTCAAGAAAAAAGTCTTAACTTATGATGGATTATTGCAAGGTCATGACTGATTATCACAACATTGTGGCTCAAAAACAATGTCTGAAGCAAATAATTCACAAGGGTATTTATGAATCACTGTAGTATTAATAAATTTGATTTTAAATGGTTTAAGTCTCAAAACTTTTTCTTAGAGTAGAAAAACCTGATTTAATTTATAAATTTTGAAAAATATTATCATGTTGTTTTCGAAACCTTATATATGATCCTAATCCAGGATTGAGATTTTACCTTTTGGATTGTTTTCATTGAAAGTTATCTACCTTGGAAGAAAGAGGAACATCTAAGAGAGAGAGGAAGAGAGAAAATTTCTGATTTTAGATAGAGAATACAAGATCATGGAACTCTATAGAGCTTGAACCCTATAGAGTATGTGCATATGACACGTGTCTGTCAGTTAAAACAGAAATAATATAACAACTAAAAATGCTACAGCTACTGAAAAACACAGCATAATGAACTGCACTAGGTTTATACTACACTAATACAACAAGGGTGCAAGAGGGCTATGTTTTCAAAGTATTGTGGTTTGAAAATAAATTGATTTGTGTGAATACATGTAAACTTCTTGTGTAATGTTATTATTTATGCAGCATGCTTTTTTCTTTTTGCTTGAACAGTTGGGTCCAGGCAAATCATCTGATTCGACAAGCCTTGGGGACATAGAGGACATAATATATAAATTCCTTGTTATAATGCTAGAACGTTCAATGCGCCAAAAGGACGGATGGAAGGTTCATTTGCATTATATTCGGCTACTGTCTGATCTTGCCATAGTTTATTTTTTAATATTTTTATATTAATTCTTTTTTTATTTGGTGGATCGCTTTATATTTGTAGGATATTGAAGCAACAATTCATTGTGCAGAATGGCTTTCAATTATTGGTGGATCTAGCACAGGAGAGCAGCGAATTAGGTAAGTTTGTATCCATTTGGAGCTCGTTATTATTACTATTCAGCTCCATCATTGTAGTATGTTCCTTTTGCTACTTGATATTGTTCGACATTGGCTATATTTTGAAAAGGTAGCTAAAAAGCTAATTAGCTCATTGGATTTTAAAGTGTTTGATATAATTATCTGTTGACACAAATGATCAATATGGAAATGTTTGATACTTTTGTATAAATTTTATTTTTATTTTATTGGCAGAATATATTTTGAGGTAATTATAGTTTTAGTTTTTATTAATTATAAACTCTTATAAGTTTTTTATTTGTAGAGATATTATTTTAATTGTATTTTTTAGTTTCAATTACTTTTTTTTTTTGACATATTATGATTTTTACTATTAATTTTATAATATATCTTCATATTTTTCCAACCAAATTTAAAATAAAATCAAGTAGCATACACTTAAGTAGATGACCTACCCTTGTTATGTTGATTAATGTGATAGTTATAATATCTTGAAATACAATACTAAAATATCGTGATAAATACAAAGGGATCACAGGCCTTGGGAGTGACTGCTTTTCTATAAATATTCCGGGCAGAATTTTCGATGCTATTAAATTATCCTATTTCACTGTTTTTAGTGAAATAAAAATTATATTTTCTTGAAGCCTCGATTTGGAATTGAAACACAACATATCATTGCTATATATGTGCCAGGTTGTGAAGCTAGTCCCAAGGTTAACTGAATTAAAGATACTCTCGATCTTTTAAAAATTGTAAGTTTCACTGAAGTTTAAATATTTAATAAAATTCGCAGTCACTCCCAGATATACTCCACATTGATTGACAGGGAACTCAATGAGGAACAAATGATGTCTGAAAGACAGGCATGAATAATAGATTAGTGGCATTCTTGGTAATGGATGAGCAGTTCTTTGATAACACTGATCTATGCTATTATTCTGCTGATATTTACTCTATTTTATTTTTCTTTTCTTACATTTTCCTTCTCTGAATTCAATGCCATAATCCTAGTCTAGCTTTGTGGAAAATTATTAGGAGAATTTTAGGCATATCTTTCACAGGCTCTTTCTATACTGTCATATAATTCCCTTGTCTTGATAAAAAGTTTACACTGAAGAGATGTTCTTTTTACCTTGGTATAATGGTTTATGCGACAATTCTTCCTTGGTTCATGTATTGAAGGCGTGAAGAGTCATTACCTACATTTAAGAGAAGGCTCTTTGGTGGCTTGCTGGACTTCGCTTCTAGTGAGTTGCAGATCCAGGTACATATTGTTTCCAACCTCTGTTGATTTTTCCTAATGAACAGTTTCATTTTCCCATTACAAGATAATTTGTCCTTTTCATCTTTTGACGTTTTTTCCCTACTTGTTAATTTTGGTTATTAATGTATATGCTCATCTAGAAAACAATTTCTCAACTACTCACATAAATGTGTGAATGTATAAGAACACGGACTATTGGAATTATATATATTCCTTTTGTTGAAAAGAGTAGAAGAAAAACAGAAATAACGTCTACATTCAGACTTTCCTTACTGCAGACTCAAATTATTGCCATGGCTGCTGCTGGTGTTGCTTCTGAGGGCTTGTCTCCAGATGCTGCCAAGGCAGAGGCTGAGAACGCTACTCACCTGTCTGTGGCTTTAGTAGAGAATGTTATTGTGATACTAATGCTTGTTGAGGATCATATAAGGTCTCAATGCAAGCAGTCATCTTCTTCACGTGCTGCAGATGGCTCTCCATCTCCCCTATCTCTCTTTTATCCAGTGCATTATAACTTAACATCATCATTCACAAGCTCAGAATCAACAGATGTTAGGGGTGATCGCACATCAGCATCTAGCAACTCTGGGGGAGTCTCTCTTGACGTATGCATACAGTAATTTAAAAGTAGATGTGCATGCATGCTATGTGTCATAAATACAATAATTTGCATTATCTCTCCACTGTTCTTCGTGTCATTCCTTCAAAATTCATACAATGGTTGCATATCATCCTGTTTTTCTATAAGCCTTTTCTAAAATCAATAATTTGATACATTGCTTATTAAAGTTTCAATTTCTGTTTTATTTTTTTGCAATGCTGTATCTGTTTTCTCCATAAATATCCATCTTTTGTCATAGAGAATTTGAACAGAGAAAAGATAGGGAAAAACTAAACAAGAACAGAATATTTTCATTAATACTATGTATAAGAAGTATTTATAGAGACAGATGGCTTCTTGCTATTATAAACTGACAGCTGTACAATGAAAATGAACACATACAATGAAAGAAACCTACAAGTGTACAAGTTTGACTCTTTATACAAGTTGACTATAATATGTACACTTAACATTTGGCAGGGTCCTTAGGATCAAGTTTTTTCTAGTTTTCCGTTCCCTTCTCTTCCCTACTTCCATTTTATTTGCAGTCTTGTTGATTCAATTTTTATAACCCCCTTCTCTCTCTCTCTCTCTCTCACACACACAGACACACACACACTCACTTATGGTCATGCATGTGTTTGTTTTTATAATGGTGTGACTTGTTTTCTCAATTTTTTAGGTACTTTCGTCAATGGCTGATGCAAATGGTCAGATATCTGCTGCAGTTATTGAAAAGCTTGCCGCAGCAGCTGCAGCTGATCCGTATGAGTCTGTTTCTAGTGCTTTTGTATCATATGGATCTTGTGCCAAGGATTTAGCAATTGGGTGGAAATATAGAAGCCGTTTATGGTACGGTGTTGGCCTTTCATCAAATACAGCTTCATTTGGTGGTGGAGGGAGTGGATGGGAATTTTGGAAGTCCTTACTGGACAAAGATGACAATGGCAATTGGCTTGAACTTCCATTGGTGAAGAAGTCTGTAGCAATGCTGCAAGCATTGTTGCTAGATGAGTCCGGGAAAGGTGGTGGTCTTGGTATAGGTGGAGGGTCAGGTACTGGAATGGGAGCAATGACTGCGTTATACCAGCTGTTAGACAGTGACCAGCCATTCTTGTGCATGCTTCGGATGGTTCTTCTATCGATGAGGGAAGATGATGATGGGATTGACAGTAAGATGAGTGAAGAAAGGAAACTGCAGTCAGCACTTTTGTGGAGGTAAAATAACCTCTGTAATCATATTACTTCTAGCTCACTTATTCATTCTTAAATGACATTTTATCATTACCTGGAAAAGTTCCATTAAGGTTGGTACATTGACATTAGCTTTATTTTCTTCTTGGTCACCCGAATACTTTTTTTTGAAGAAAAAAAAATCATGTTAGACATCAGGACGATGAAGCTTTAGCATTCCACCTAAGTTGGCACCCTAAAACTTCAAACATCATTTGTCATCACACAAACATCCATTAAAGAAGAAAAAAAGAAAAGATACAAACAAGCAAAAGGAGGCTAAATCGAACCTGTGCCCGAAAAAAGAAAACCGACCCAGAATCCTAACAAAAACTAAATTCTGGAAGCTTAGAACAATTCCTAAAAAAGAATCAGTGTTTACCACGGGGTAAACAATCAAACCAAAAGTAGTCCAATTTATTATCAACCCCTATGTTAGCCATAAGATCACCACATTTATCATCTTCATAGTGTTTAAGACGCGCTGTTTTCATTTCTACTTGGTTATTTTTTGTGAAAATTAGAAAAATTATGGAATTTTCTCCATTTCAAAAACAAACAATAAATTGGTATTTAATGGAAAAATGAAACCCTAATGAAAGGAATTAAATCTCCTTAAATAAAGCAAATAAATCTCCAAACATAAAACCTATAAATCAGGAGCTAATCTAAAAAATAAACTCTTAATCCTAGTCTCTTAATTTCAAGGATTTCTTCCAAACAAATCTGAATTTATTACTCAATTAATCTATATTTATTGTATAGAAAATGTGCAATATTTACTAATAGATTTTAATTTAATAAACATAGGAAACAGTCATGTGGCTGTAAAATAATTGCTTAACATTAAGTTTTGGAAAGATTACAATATAATGCAGTTCTGCCTGACAAAACTTAATAGAGAGAAAGACAAAAGTTATGAGCAGTTATGGGTGGTTACAAACTAGTGTAACCTCCGAAAATTACAAAATAAAGAGAAAATAAAAAAACAGAAATAGGGATAAAACTATATTAGAAAACAAGAAAAAAAAAATAACAATCAAATAACAAACATATAAAATAGGCCCTCTCAAACTTGAGGTGAGGCATTGGGACGGATGAAATCCATCACTTTGAGTTTGAAATGGAGGAACCGAAAACGAGCGAAGAAAGTGGTTTGGTGAGAGCATCAACCCACTGATCAAGACCAAAAATTTGAGAGACCACGAGTTGCTGGGATAACACCTATTCATGAACAAAAAAGACACCAGTCTCTATATGCTTAGTCCTGGAGTGAAAAACAGGTTATGGGCAATAACAATAAAACTCTAGAGAACAGGTGTAACTTCAAGGGCGGGGTATTACTTGGTTCAGTGGTAAAATTTATATTAGGAGAAATAAATAAAGGAGGCGATTATAACCTCCTACAGTTGTAACCTTCTAAAACAGACTATTATATATAGTTTGTGTATAGGCCGTTGATTTTTCAGTTTTGGAGTTTATGAGGAAAAGGGTTTGGAAGAGTTAAGGTCCTCTCGAAAAGCTTGGGTTTTATGAGATTCATTGTTGTTGTACTACTCCCACATTGGCATAACAGTTTTATTCATGATAAAATCATTCAGAACCTATCTTGAATATTTTTGTAACTATGGGTTGTCCTATCATTGTTGAGGCTAAAACAATTGAAGGTAGTCTATTAATTAAATAACATACAGTAAGAACAAGGAACCTTATGTTGAAAAAGAAAAGTTCGAGTTTGGTCAAATAAGTGTTCATTTTTCTATTGTTTTGACACAAGATAATACCCTCCTTACTGCAAAAGGAATTAAGTTCTTGATTAAAACAATCTTTAGCATTATCAAATCAAATCCTAACACTAAACTAATTTTTACCACTGTGAAAAAACATTGAACAAAAGGGCTGACTTTTCCGATTTTTTCTTTTAGAAGGAATACCCATGTAACCCCAGTACTATCATCTATGAAGGTAATGAACCAATGAGCAGTAAATACATTTGGGATATTTGAGGGACCCTAGACATCAATCTCTAATAATTGACTTGTAAGGTGAGAATTTCCAAAAGTTTATGAGCTTTCTTTAAGTCATATCTCTAGTTGATGTGAAACTAAAAACTAATGTTGTGATTACACTTCAGAATTAAACTTTAAAATAATTCTAGAGGGCTTGATTGATCCCTCTCATAATCTTCTATTTACAAGAATAAATTGATACAAGAGTACATGATAATTAGAGTAATCCTAGACACAATATAATCATGATAAATAGGGTAACTCTTGGCACAATATAATGATGATAAATAAGATAAATATCCTAACACTCTCCCTCAAGTTGGAGCATACAAATTGTATGTACCAAGCTTGGAACAAATAAACTCAATCCGAGGACCCCTTAATGACTTGTTCAATACATCTGCGAGTTGATCGTTTGACCCAATAAACTCAGTACATATTTTTTTAGTCAACAACTTTTCAATAACAAAATGACAATCAATTTCTATATGTTTAGTCCTCTCGTGAAACACTGGATTTGATGTAATGTGGAGAGCGGCTTGATTGTCGCAATACATCTTCATAGTATGGATGTCACAAAATTTAAGCTCTTGAAGGAATTGTTTCACCCATATAAGTTCACATGTTAGTGATGCCATTGCCCTATACTCGACTTCAGTTGTTGATCGAGCTACTACATTTTGTTTTTTACTTTTCCATGAAATAATGTTTCCTCCCAGAAAAACACAATATCCTGTAGTAGACCGTCTATCATTAGGCGAAGCTGCCCAATCTACATCACAATACCCAGAGACCTGAATGGTTCCTTTATCTTCATATAACAATCCTTTCCTGGGAGCCTTTTTGACATACTAAGAGATAGGAATGAGAGCATTCCAATGGTCAACACATGGAGCCTACATGAACTGACTAACCACTCTAACTGCAAAGGATAGATCTAGCCTTGTAATAGTGAGATAAATCCGTTTTCCAACCAGCTTCCTATACCTCTCTAGATCGAAGAATAATTCACCTTCTTCTTTCCTTAATTTCTGGTTTGGGTCCATGGGACTGTCTATAGGTCTGCAATCAATCATGAATGTTTCTTGTAATATATCAAGAGCATACTTCCTTTGGGAGATTACAACTCCATCTTTTGATTGCGCTACTTCAATGCCTAAGAAGTATTTGATACTTCCAAGATCCTTGGTTTGAAAATGTTTACAGGAAGTACTCTTTTAGTTGAGATATTCCAATTAAATCATTTCTTGTAATCACAATATCATCAATATATACTATTAAGTAAACACATTTCCCAAGAGAAGAATGACAGTAAAAATCTGAATGCTTGAGGCCATATAGAGATCGATGCAGTTTGCATACCATACCAGACTCCCCCGGAGCAACAAACCTTGGAGGTTGCTCCATATAAACTTCTTCCTCAAGATCACCATGTAGGAAGGCATTCTTGATATCCAATTGATGAAGTGGCCAGTGACGAATGACTGCCATGGCAAAGAAGAGGCAAATAGTAGTCATCTTGGCTACAGGAGAGAAAATGTCACAATAATCAAGACCATAAACCTGAGTGTAACCTTTTGCAACAAGTCGGGCTTTGAGCCGATCAATTTCACCATCAAGACCGACTTTAACTGCTTACACCCATCGACAACCAACCGCCTTTTTGCCCGGGAGAAGGGGCACCAGCTTCCAAGTATTACTTTGGTCAAGAGCCCGCATTTCTGCAATCATAGCTTGTCGCTATCCAGGATGATCGAGTGCTTCTTTCACATTCTTGGGTATAACAACAAAAGACACTGAAGGTAAAAGAGAAAAATAGGAGGGCGACAATCGATGATAGCTAAGAAAATTATAAGTGGGATGAGGGTTTCGAGTGGAACGAGTACCTTTTCTGAGGGCAATAGGTCATGCTGAATCATTTTCACCAGGTGGCGTGGGAGGAGGTGACGAGGGAGAAGAATCTGAAGAAGGAGATTCACCATTGTCTTGGGGAGGTGGACTATCCATTAGGGCCCTGTGTGGGATGATCTCAGTATGTGGAGAAATGGGTGCAGGAGGATTGTGATCAAGACTTCGAATGACAGAGACAGTGGAGCTATATGACTCAGCCATTGGAATAGGAAGGACCTGCTGGAGGATAGAAACATCCTGAACAGATGGAGAGAAGTAAGGAGTCTATTCAAAGAATGTGACATTTGGCAGACATGTAATACTTTTTAGTTTCAGGAGAGTAACATTGATATCCTTTTTGAAGTCAAGAATAGCCTAAGAAGACACATTTGAGAGCTTGAGCGAAGAGTTTGTCTAGACCTAGAGACATGTCATGAACAAAACATACACAACAAAACACTCAGGGAGATGTATGAAAGAAAGGATCATTAGGAAACAAAATGGAGAAAGGGACTTTATTATCAAGAGAGGAGGAGGGCATCCTATTAATAAGATAACATGCAGTTAAGATGGCATCCCGCAGTTATGGACAGGAATATGGGCACCAAGCAAAAGGGTACGAGCAGTTTCAACCAAGTGTCTATTTTTTCGTTCTGATATAGCATTTTGTTGTGGTGTATGAGGACAATTAGACTAATGTAAGATACCATGGGAACTCAAGATGGCAGAATAGGAGGATGAGAAATACTCTTTTGCATTATCACTTCTTAATATTTTGATTACTTGACCAAATTGATTCTGGATTTCATTCATAAAGGATGTAAAGATAGCTAACAATTCAGAATGATTTTTCATAAGATAAACCCATGTACATCTTGAATATTCATCAACAAAGGTAACAAAATATCTAAAACCAAAGGAGGAGATACGACTAGGTCCCCATATATCAGAATGGATGATGGAAAAACTAGAATTACATATTGATTAAGACCTTTTAGGAAAGGAAGATCTAACATGTTTTCCTAAATGACATGACTCACATTCTAAGGTTTGGAGACCACTAAGTTCAGGACACATCTTTTTTAATTTGGACAAATGAGGATGGCCAAATCGATCATGTAGCACTTTAGGATTAGGAGCAACAACACAGGACACCCTTGGACGAGATCCAAAATGGTATAATTCGCCAGCTTCATATCCTTCTCCAATCTGTCTCCCTAAACCATGATCCTGTATAACAAAAGATTTATGATCAAAGGTTATTGAACAATTTAACATTTTGGTCAAATGGCTTAGGGAAATTAAATTAAAAGGACAATTAGGGACAAAAAGGACATAATTGAGATTGAGAGAGGGAGAGAAGGAAACATGACCGACTCCTTTGAAGGAAGTTTTAGATTCATTTGCAACGGTTATGAAATGAGGTTTTTCCCGAAAAGAAATAGATGAGAATAAAGAGATATTACCAGAAATGTGATCAGAAGCACCTGAGTCAACTATCCATGAATTTTGACCTTCCATGGATTGAAAAATGAAGGTTGTTGATGTATTGGGAGATTGAGATGGTTGTGCCAAGCTGTTAGACTTTAACCTTAAATACTCTTGATATTCATCCTCGGTGAACTTAAGAGTACTGTCAGACACCATCTCTGAAGAAGACAAATCGTACCATCGAGAAACAAGAAAACCCTAAGGGTTTAGACAGACATAACTGTGACGGCGGGCGGCGTGCAGCGCCGGACTATGGCGCCGGATAAATGCTACGAGACAGAAACCAAAACGGAATCGACCCGTTCTGGTAGCAACTTCAAAATTAAATTGTAAAATAATTCTAGAGGGCTTGATTGATCCCTCTCATAATCTTCTATTTATAAGAATAAATTGATACAATAATACATGATAATTAGAGTAACCCTAGACACAATATAATCATGATAAATAGGGTAACCCTTGACACAATATAATGATGATAAATAAGATAAATATCCTAACAATTACAATTAAGGCAAGATTTGAAAAGGTCACAACAAATGCAAATGACCGGTTTTTACAAGTGAGGTGGCTTTTCAACACTCTCCTTCTCACCTTAAGCTACTAATTTGGAGCGTGGAAATGTAGATGATGCAAGAGTTCAAGAATAGACAATAACACCATTTTGGAATTTAGGCTTAGGACCAAACTGACTCTTACAAAACTAACTTGGATGTTGATGATTGACCAAAATTTATAAGCCTTATTCAAGTCATATAGCTAGTTAATTGGAGACGATGGGTTTGTTTGGACAAACTTCTCCATAATAACTTCTAAAGTGGAAAAATATGAAGAAAAAAAATGAAAAGAATTTCTTCATAAATTAAAGTTCGCATATGCATAAGCTAATTTATTAAAGCTCTCTCCCATAACTTCTTCAAACTTTAATTTTTTTAATTTGTGCACAAGGTAATTTCAACTTAGGTAAAAAACTCTAGTAATTTTTTCTTTTTCTTCTAGACGTTGTTTTGTTATGTAGAAGTTTGTCTAAGAAAACCCTAAGGCACACCCTCGAGACTACAATTAAGGCAACCCAAAGAGGCCATCACTAACTCAAGCTAGGTGTCACTGCAATTAAGAAAGGTTTAATAATTTTCGAAGTCCCTATTTATGCAGAAGCGTCTCAAATAGGTCCTTCTATTATTTTTTATCTTAATTAGATCCCTATTTGTGTAAAATTGACTCAATTACACCCTTGTCGTTAATTTGAGTGAACGACATTAACATTTGAGTCGTGGCATGCTGAGTTTGCAAATGTTAATCACGTGACACATTGAAGTCGCATTACGTGGTAAAATATGTTTTACCTAGTGGCATTATTTTAAGCTTTACAAAAGTAAAACTTTATTAAAAAAGAGGTCTTATGCTAAATTGGAGATTATTTAGAAAAAATTGTCACACATTATGTTTATTGTGTTAAAGTAGTGAAATTAGGGATTTAGTGGTTTTTGGTTTTCGTTTAAAATTGGGGATCATTCAATCAAAGTAGTTGTCGATCTACAACATTAGGGTTTCATTGTAGATCGAAATTGTTCTTTTGTGACATGGGTGCCTGGGTTGTAAAATCCCTTTCTCACCCAAAAATTAGGGTTTTCGAATTGGGGAAAACTTGATCCTATGCCTTTTCTCTCTTTAGATTGCTAACGCAAATAGGGTTTCACCCCTTTCATCTGCGGCGGCACATGGCAGCGTAATGGTGTTCGTGGTCTGATGATGGCTTTCCCTGTTGCGCAAAATTGGAGGTTCATGGCTCAAAGAAATTACAGGTTCATTCCTGCAAGTTCGACTCGCGGAGAAGAGAACTCGGGAACTGAGTTGTGTTTTCTGATTGCAGGTTTTGAACAACGATTTGGGTGCTTGAAGATGATGGAGGATACAAATCTAGTTTGTGAGACGCAATTAGGGTTCACGGCAATGGCGGTTTGCGTTTGATGTTTCTGGTTGGGGATTTTTTTGGGTTCGTAGGTGAAGACGTAAAGATGACGATTTGTGGTTGGAGGTGTGGTTGTTTGCACAATTCTCGCAATTTGATGAAGGTCGGGCGAATCGCAGCGATGCTCTGTGGCAGCATAAGCATGTACGAGACTCAATCAGAGCAAATCGTGTTTCCTTTAATCACGCCGTCAATTTGCTTCCACCAACAAAATCCTAATTTTTTTGATGAACAACTAATTTGATTTAATGAACCACAATTTGGAACCAAAAGAAATAATCCACTCAAACCCTACTTTCGTTACTTGATTTTGTGCAAATAATCCCTAATTTAGCATAACATGTTTTATTTTAATTAAATTTTAGTTTTGTAAAACTTAAAATAACTAAATTCCAGGTAATGCGATCTAACTCTGCCACATGGTTAAGATTTGCAAAGTCAGCATGCCACGTGACTACAATCTTAACGTCGTTTAGTGAAATTATCGTCAATGGTGCAATTGAATCAATTTTACATGAATAGGGACCTAATTAAGATAACGAATAATAGAAGGACTTATTTCAAACTATTCTGCATAAAGAGAGATTTCGAAAATGATTAAACCAATAAGAAAATTTTGCAATTAAGAAAATTTTTCAATAAACAACGATGTTTGGAACTCATGAGGAGCAATAGGAGTATTTAGTTATGCCATTTGGATTAATAAATGCTGTCTCTACTTGCAAATCCTTAATGAAATAAGGAAGTATTCTCTCCAAGAAATTCTAATTATTCCCTACGGTAATACTTATCTTATTCTAATGGATTTTGTCTGATCTTTGGTAAGTTAATTGTTTCCTGGCTTGATTGACTTTGGAGTATAGTATTTAGATTTATTTGTAGTGTAAAAATAAACGTTAGTGAATTGTCCGTTATATCATCACACGGTGTGCCATATTAATGTATTATCCTTCTATTTTGAGTCTATACTATTCTTTGCTCCTTGCTTACCTAAATTCTACAATTTCAACCCGTTAATGCTGTCGTCTTATTTATTTAATTACTTATTCTTATATGACAGTGTTCTCTCACCTATTCTCAACATGCCGATTTCTGATGCTAAGAAACAAAGAGTCTTGGTAGCATGTTGTGTGATTTATTCAGAGGTTAGAATTGACTCCCTTTAACATTTATATTCTTGGTTACTATGTTATCCAAAATATTTATCATTGTCTTTCTTTTGCCTACAATCGTTGTAATCACCATAATATACAATATTTGGGTAGGTATACCATGCTGTTAGCATAGACCGAAAGCTTCTTCGCAAAAAGTATGTTGAGGCTATCATACCACCATTTATTGCTGTCCTAAGGAGATGGCGCCCTCTTTTGGCTGGAATTCATGAACTTGCGGCTGCTGATGGTTTGAACCCTCTTACAGTGGAGGATCATGAACTAGCTGCTTATGCTGAGTCAGTTGAGGTAATTCAATTCACGTAGTTTATATGTGATCAAACTTAAACAGTCACAGATATGTTTGCACTCATTATGCATAAACAATTTTACATGTAAACTACGTTTCTGAAATTATTTTTTAGTATGTAGAGTACAAGTACTAATTTAATCGTATAAATTAACCTATACTTATTGTGGTTAGTAGCTTTAGAATCATTGGTACATGAGCTTTGGAATTTTATTTGGTACTAAGAAGACCAGTAGCAACAGAAATACTTTTTTGAGCTACAAGAGAATGATGTACAATTTAAGAATATATATCAAAGTTGAAGCTCTAGTATCATATAATTTTAGGAGAAGAATTTTTTTTTTCTTCAATCATCAAAATTTTGTAAGAGTTTGTTTACGCAGAAATGGCTAAAAAGATTCCAACCACCTGGATTACAAAATAAATACGAAGATAAGAAGAATAAGAACAAATCAGATTTGAAAGAAGTGCAGCTTTCCGGATTGGTCATTCAGGAACACTTTTCTAAAATGTCCATTCAAGAATTGCCAACTTCAACCAATTGATTCCGCATTTTTAAGGATCTGGAATGTTGTTCGTCCCACTTGTTCTGGGGTTTTCTGGAGTAGTAAATCCAGAGTACTTTCACTGTTCTGGAATGCACTATCCATAAATTGAAAATCACGTTCTGGATCTGGAATATACTATCTTTTTAATTGATTAGGTTAATAATGTAAAATTGAGATTACATTATTAAACTAATCAATTAAAAAGATAATTATTACAGTTATATATTTAAAAATGATTCAATTCATGTCATACCTAATCTTAATCGATTATATTAAGATTAAAATGGGTTTTTAGAATTTCTATCTTGGTCTATAATAATTCAAGAGACAACTCATCCTAAAACCAACTATCAATAGCTTTTTAAAGTCTTTACCATGCTAAGCTTGGACATCATCAAAAACTTAACTTAGGCCAATGGAGCAACACACATCATTGATGCGGAAGAGTGGCTCGCTAACCATATCTTTAAAATGTTGTTTTTAATTTTCTTTTAAATTTGTTATATATATATATATATATAGATATATTATTAGTTATTCACAACGTAGAGCTTAGATTTGCTATTATTCATTGTCTAACCACAGATCTTTCCATACATATGCAAAACATCCATAATGGTTGGTCTATGTTTCATTGTATTTCTTTGTTGTCACTCCAGTAAAACCTCCTGTACAAATTTCAAGTGATGTATTAATCAAGAACTCTCGCATGGCTCTAGTATTATATTCATCTATACCAATTTTGGTGCATTAACTTAATTATGCATCTGAATTTCTTTCAGGCTTCTCTTGATTTGATATCTCCAGCCTGGGCTGCAGCTTTTGCATCTCCACCTGCTGCATTGGCATTATCTATGATTGCAGCTGGTACTTCGGATAGCGAAAATCACGCTCCTTCAACAAATCCCCAGCTTAGGCGTGAAACCTCATTACTGGAAAGGAAACAAGCTAGGCTTCAAACATTTTCAAGCTTTCAAAAACCTTCAACGATTCCTAACAAAACACCACCCATACCAAAGAACAAAGCAGCAGCAAAAGATGCTGCTTTGGCCGCTGCTCGTGATGTCCAACGTTTTTCAAGAATTGGTTCTGGAAGAGGTCTGAGTGCCGTTGCAATGGCTACATCTACACAGCGAAGGACTGCTGGTGATATGGAGCGGGTTCAGAGGTGGAATATTACTGAAGCAATGGGAGTTGCTTGGATGGAATGTCTGCAGCCAGTTGATACAAAGTCGATATACGAGAAAGATTTCAATGCTCTGTCGTATAAATTTATAGCTGTTCTTGTTGCCAGTTTTGCCCTAGCAAGGAATATGCAACGATCTGAGGTCTGTCTGCTAATTGTTACTATGGTTTTCAGATTACATTGAGATGTATGTGTTAAAGATTTCTTTGTTGCCAGATGGACAGGCATGTCCGTGCATGTATAATATCTCGGCATCGTATCAGCATTGGAATTCATGCATGGCGCAAACTTATTCGACAATTAATCGAGATGAGAAGCCTTTTTGGGCCTTTTGCAGATTATTTGTACAACCCATATCGAGTATGTTATGATACAATGTTCCACGTTGTTGCCACCAACTGGCAGTCTTGGTTGCCACTCATTTTTTTTCTGACCATATATTATCTTTTACAGAGTATATGAAAATCCTTTAGAAAGATCTATATTGCTTGTGTTCTTAGGTCTACCTGCTTAAAAAATAAAATCCTAGAATTCGAAAAGAACTAGTGTGGGGGCTTTGGACTTTAAAAAAGAGCTCGATAGCTCTTTTCAGCTGATGCTCATATTTTTGTGTACGATTTTTTAATGGTTCAGTCACGATGGTGATTATTTTATATTTTTTTCTAGGTTTTCTGGAAGCTAGATTTTATGGAAAGTTCTTCTAGGATGAGAAGATGTATGAGAAGAAACTATCGAGGATCTGATCATTTAGGTTCTGCCGCCAATTATGAGGATTATTCAAGGGAGAATAATGATCCGAGCACTCGAGTTTTATCTGCGGAAGCAATTACAGTAGAAGGTATAAATGAAGAGGAAGAACATATAGAAACTGAAAATTTGGATCTTACAGTTGATGATATAGGAGATGAAATAGAGAATCAGCCGAAATTTTCGAAAGGAGCTGAGAAAACTCTACAAAAGTCTTCAGATTCCAATGGAATTCAACCTGAAAGTGACGAGGGTATTGTTCAGAGTTCTTCAGCCTTTGCACCTGGTTATGTTCCAAGTGAGCTTGATGAAAGAATTGTTATTGAGTTACCCTCAACAATGGTCCAGCCACTTCGGGTTGTACAGGGAACCTTCCAAGTAAGTTTCATGATCTAATTTTAAAGTAATTTTATAACGATCCTGATGATATAGCAGATACGAAAAGATAATTTTGAGAGAACTGTGCCTGTTACATTTTGTAGCCATTTTGAGATTATTTGTGGAATGAAGAGCGGTATCGGTAGATAAGAAGCATATAGTAAAATCTAGAAAAAGAAAATATAGTCGGGAAAAATAACATTAGTATAAAATAAGTTGGTTTTCTTAATTAAGTAAATAAATTCTTGAAAAATTATTTTTCTAAATGGCTGTTGATATTTATTTACATTGATGCGAAAAAAAATCAAGAACCTACAAAGTGGGTTCATGAGTTTTAAACTAGCTTCGTGTGTGCCCAACATATTTTGCAATTGATAGTAGTTACTAATATGGGCGTAAATATTGCGCCTTTACTATACAATAAATATAGATTGATTGAATAATAAATATAGATTTGATTGTAAGAAATCTTTAAAATTAAGGGATTCAAATTCAAAGTTTATTTGGTATTATATTTGTTCCTGAGTTAATGTCTTTATGTCAGGAAACGTATTTTCTTTTATTAGGATTTGTTTTTCCTTTAAATTCCAATATATTGTTTCTTTCTCAAATCAAGAAAAGTAATTCAACAATTATTGCTTACTTCCTACACATTTTTTCACATGGTACCTAGAGGTTTAGGTTTTTCCTGGAGCCTTGGCTTCTCTATGTGCCTTCATTGTCATTTTATCTTGAAGAGGGTAATGCATTCATATTTTAATTTGCCACTTATCCGTGTCCAATACGTATCTATGTCTGATACGTATCTGTCTCCAATACTTTAGAATATATTATATATACTTATCAAATCTATAATGCAGTAATATTTTCCTGATGACAATAATTTGTAATTTTTTATTTTGAAAATGTTTAATACATTTGATTTTAATTTTGATTTAGATAATAGCAATCATATATTTATCATATTTTTAAGAACTTTTGTACACTTTTCAATATGCATATATCATGTATAATTCTTATTATTTTCAAAATAAGCATATTGACATATTAAATATGTTTCTTATCAAATACAAGTGCTTCATAGGGGGTTTTTGTTGTTTTTCCCTTTGTAAAATCACACATTATTGCTGATTTGCATCTCCCTGTTGTCTGATCTAAAATCTCAACAAGACTATATTCTAGTTTTTCACAAAGGACTGGTGATCTCCAAGGCATTAGAGTTTCATACAGATTAAGTGGAAAAACTTTCTCAAGTGGTCCCAACTTGTGCGGACCTATCTCAAGGTAAAGGGGTGCCTTTCTCATATCCTTAAAAAGTGGCAAGTAAGGAGAATCTAACGTTTTCTAAGCATGAAAAATATTCCATGATAATGTCATGGTTTTGGGGTTCCATGGAGCTCAACATTAGTCACACGTGCATGTTTCTGAATACAATGAAGAATATATGGGATTTCATCAATCACATGCATTTGAAGGCAAATGATGCAGCTCAATTGTTTGTCAAAAGACACAAAGTGTGACAATGGGTACCTTGGCTTTTGAGTACATGCTCTAACATCTTTCCTTACTACAGTTGGAAGATCCAAACTTAAATGGCTGCCATATTTTGTTCTTTATTAATGTCAGGTATTTCAAGTATGGGTTCAAATTCATAGACTTGTGGTGATTTTACAATAGACCTTCTCCTTCTTGACTATACTTGCAATGGATAGATAGCACTTTGAGTTTTACAATAGACCTTCTCCTTCGTGGCACAAGAGGAGAATGATTAGGAGAAGGAACTTGACTAGACTTAGTAGATGATCAATTAGTAGGAATTGGTCTAGACTTAGTAGATGGTGAACTATTACATTGAATAGATGGTGGAGTATTATTGTGACTTAATTTTGCAAAAATGAGATTTTTTTGTCAAGAATGAATTGTCCTTATCTTCAATCCATGAGCTTTCCCCCTTAAAGACAAGAATGGAAACATTGTGTATTTTCATCAAATGTGACTGATAGGCACAGAGAGATAGTGATAGGAAATGGAATGTATATGTTAAGAGAAAACTTATTAATAAAAGGTAGTTAGAGGGGCTTTTGTGTCAAGGAGTGAGGCTTTGTGAGAAAGTCTTTTTATATAGGGTGAAGGGTTGTTGTGTAAGGTGGATTTTGAGTTTTGTGTAGTTGACAGGAATTGTTGTCCTATGGGAAGAGAACATTATCCCTTGTAAACAAATACTTTGGTTTCTCTGTTTCTGACTCACTCTGAAGGTAATAACATGAGGAATATTCAGGAAAGATTGGTGTGTGGTCTTGTTTCCTGGATCCCATAATCGAGGAAAGTAAGATTTTGGTCTGACCTCCCAGATCTGTGAAAGGGATTATGGAGAATAGAATGAATGCTATACAGAGATAGGGCAGCAATCAAGAGAAAGCAATGGTGGAGGTAAAGATGAACATAGCTATCATGAAAGATAGTATGCAAGAAATCAGAGAACTGCTGCGACATTCCAAGAAAAATGAGAAAAGGTCGGAAGGGGGTGAAAACTCTATTAATGATTAAGGAATGAGGAAATAAAGATCTAGACACTATAACAAATCCAACGAGGAAGGGGATGAAGTGCAGACATTCGATGAAACGGGTGGAATTACCTACATTTGAAGGGAGTGATCCATTAGGATACATTTCAAGGGCAGAAAAATTCTGAGGTGCAAAATGTCACGGCAAGAGAAAATTTACGCTTGGCCTTCATCACTATGGAGGAGAATTCATGTCACTGGTTTAAATTTTGGAAACAAAAAACCAAGAACCCATGTTGGGAAGAACTGGCAGTAGGGTTGAATAGGTGTTAGAATCCTTTTATCTATATTATTTCTATTAAAGTCTTTGCTTTTATTAATTATATTTGTTCCTTATTTAGGAGATTATAATTATCAGGTATGATTAGGATATCCTTGAAATATAGGGATTCTTTCTTTAGGAGCTATTATTATACTGCCTAAAATAGTTTTCTAGCATTGTATATATGGATTTGTAATCTCAGCATAATGATATATATGTTTTACCCTAAATTATGAGATGGTGACCTGGCTCAGTCGAGTACATCCCTCCATGTTCAGGTGAAGCTCTGGCAGGTGACAATGGCAGCTAGCCAGATGAATCATGAGAGGTGGAGAGCAAGAGATGCTCAGTGTTGTGACCAAGGAGGTGGAGAACCATAGTCCTTTGTTTGAGGGGAGGATGTTGGTACAAACAAAGTCCCACATCAGATAAAAGAAGAGAAGGACATGGGTTTATATACACATAAGATACCTTCATTGGTAAGAGGCCTTTTGGAGTGCTACCAAAAGCAAATCCATGAGGGTTTGATCCAAAGCAGACAATATCTTACTAGTGTGGAGATTTATGTGTATGTGTGTGTGTCGAACCTCCCTACAAATGGTAGAATCCCCAACCATGGAAAACTCAACCATGGTAGCAACCGGATCGGCCAAAGATGGTTGATCCCCAAAAGGTAGGACTCACCAATATGGAAAAGAAAAATAAAGGAGTGTGGTGTACCTTCTATAAAAAACCTCGCCACACTCGTGATAAATTTTGGAAGCTACATGGAAAGCCTCCTAATCGAGATTGGGGATCCCAAAATCGTGAAAAGGAGTGGGGAAAAAGAGGCGACAACAGTAGAAAGGGCGGACAAGCACACCTAGGTGCTGCAAAACATGAAGAAAACAGCAGCAGACCAATTCCACTTAACCAGGATGAAGTTCAACAGATGCACTCCTTCCTTAACAAGTTGGATAAATCACCATGTAGTTGTTCTCTAGCACATTTGGGTATGTTTGACGAGTTTCCTTCTTTTGGATTTAATGCCTCAGATAAACAACCTAACCGATATTGGATACTAGATTCTGCGGCTACCGACCATATGACACCCTTATCTAACATTTTCTCCTCTTACACCCCTTGTCGTGCAACTCTTTTTTCTCTGATTCAATAAAGACCAGCAGGGAGAAGGTCTTCCTCCATCATTGTCGTCTTGGACATCCTTCTTTTAGGGTCATAAAATTATTATTCCCTTCCCTTTTTAGCAAATTGGATGTGGCAAGTCTCAATTGTGAAGTGTGTGAACTTGCTAAACGCAAACGTGTTTCTTTCCCGGTTAGTAATAATAAGAGCACTTTTCCCTTCTATTTAATTCATATTGATGTATGGGGTCCCTCAAATGTCACAAATGTTTCTGCTGCTCGTTGGTTTATTACCTTTATAGATGATTGCACTCATGTCACATGGGTTTTCTTACTAAAACAGAAATCTGAAGTAAGCTCTGTGGTTCAAAATTTTTTCTCAATGGTAAAAAATCAATTTGGTGTTAGCATTAAGAGGATTAGATCTGATAATGCCAAAGATTACTTCAATCATGGGCTTATTTCTTTTTGTCAAAAGGAAGGTATTATTCACGAGTCCTGTTGTGTCAAAACTCCTCAACAAA